AGATTTGGCCTGAATTGGGGACAGTGATTCAGTTAGTTGATGAAGATCACTGTCCTGATTCAATTTGGCTGAATCTGAATCTGAAGATTCTATGGTGATTCAGAGAATCAGCGATTCGGCTACAGATACAGTTTTCAATGTTTTTTCTACATACCTTGAGGTAGCAGGCATGGCTCATGAATGCTGCGATGCTGGGGTAGATGACACATCCCACAGGAGCATGGGGAACCCCCCGCATGCTCAGTGGCAAACCTAGAAGTAGACTGAAAGTACTCCCACTGAGGAAATGAACTCAGCCCAGCTGGGCTGAGTTCCCATCCCCTGCACTAGATCAGGCTGGGGATGGGCTGACTTCCCATCCCCAGGCCGATCATAGGGCTGGGGAGGGGAACTGAGCTTGGGAAGTGAACTAAGCCTGAGCTCAGTTCCCCTCCCCTGCACTGTGATTGGCTTCCCGCAGCCCAGCGGTGGGAGACGGGAAGAGCCAGGGCTGCGCTCCCGGCTGCTGCTGGGAGTGCAGCCCTGGTTCTCCCCTGTCTCCCACCACCTCACTACTGGCTGCTTCAAAACTCGAAACATTTTGAAACTTTCAAAACGTTTCTACCTAGCCTTGTTTTGTTTCCAGGCTGTTTCAAAGCCCTTTGTTCCAATTTGATTTCACTGTTTTGAGCTCAAAGGGAGTCAAAACAGGGTCAAATCAAAACAGCCGGTGAAATTTCTCACAGCCCCAGTAGCAGTAGCAGTGCAAATAATTGACTCTTAAACTGCCAGTGATGCGCTTCTGCAGCAGATAATAGAGTGAGTTTTCTTTCTACTTATAGTGTGTAGCTGATGCAGCAAAATCTGCAAAAATGGTGCAAGATAAATGATAAATGCTGAGTCATTAAAGCAACTTATCAGTAGGTCAATAACAGCAATAAAGAAATGTGCTTGAAATCCAACCTTTTATAAAGCCACTCTCCAAGTCCTACCCAATGCTGTTTGTGATGCCACAGTTTAGAATGGAGAGATGTAAAATTGTGCTTTTTTCTGGGGTGGGGTTGACCCCTCCTCTCAATGAAATGTAGATGCTACCTATTCAAACTTGGTTGTATTGTCATTGAATGTGCTATTTCTGATGTAGGCATTGTCTGGGTGATTTTTAGCATGCATTGAAGACATAATCATAAACTATTCCATACTGAAGTGGATACGTGGCTTCACAGATGATAATTTATGGGGAAGATCATGTAGGTGTGGTGTATATATAGTTTCAAGCAGGGAAGAATAGTGAGGCTTTTCTTAAGTCTATTTCGTACAGAATTTATATGATTTTTCTATGCTTTGAAAAGTAGAATAAAGCAAGAGGCAAAGTTTGGATTGTGGGTTGTAATTCTTTGTCCTAACTGTTCCATTCTCTGATAGACTTGCAGCACAAATGCAGGCTCCTCTGCTTGGATTGCTCATAATTCTGGAATAAATAATCTTCATAAGTAGCTTTCCAAGGCATATAAGATAGATATATAGATGGAAGCATAGTGCACTGCAACTGTTTTGGGAGAAAATGTAAATGGGACAGACACTTTACTATTGTTCTCTTGGGCCAGTCTGCAGCTTCAAACCAAGACCTTTGTGTCTGTTTTGGCAAGAGAGTCTGGTGCAAGGAGTTATCTTGTGTCATAAGCTTTGAAACTAGGCCTAGCCCTTACTCACACATATGGAGCTATTGGCTCACTGTCTTCCTACCACTTTTTGAACACCTAGTGCTGCTACTTGTTGAAATGTAGGGGATGCAGGCCTAAAATTGTGGCTAACTCCTGAACTACAGTTAGAGGGCTCTTTGCTGCTTCTTTACCTGGTGTCATGTACCCACAGAGGTCCAGACCTATAAAAGCTTATGGTAAAGCATTGGTAACTGGTCTTTTTGAGGTGTCAGACATAAGAGTTCACTTGCAAGAAACTGATCTTCTTCGCTCTCAACAAATACCGACCTGTATACTGACTATTGTACTAAGGCTTAAAGACTTTAACAAACTTTTTGCAATACTATGTTCCCTACTATAAAAAGCCATAAATTACAGTTATATCAACATTTATAAAACATAAACATTTGTGTTTTAGTGTTCTCACTTTAAAAACTGCCTATTCATCTATTATTTCATACAGTTAGTAATAATTAGCCAGATTCTGGAATGATCTAATGTTTTCGCTGTCTTTTTCTTCAAAAGCAGTGGTTAAAAAATAGGCCTTTTAAACTAGTATGATTAAGGTCATTTGGGGTGTTTGAACATTGTAAGCTAGGATTAATACAATAAATACTCAGTATGCTCTACTGAAGATTTTCAGTATCTTTTTGTCACTTAGAAAGCTTTCCCTAGTATGATGTCAGCACAGGAGGTACCCAAGAAATACAGCAAACCATTTCCCCAGGGATAAGAAAGCTTTGGTTTTCATCATATGTATTTTTGTTCAAAAATTGAAAGCTCATAATCAAAGGCTTTTTTCCTGTGTTACCAACATGCCCCTGCATTATGGAATAGTTTTATCTGAAAACTGCATTTCCAATATAAAAACGCTTCCATTACTAGAAAATGCTGTCATACCCCTATGCAGAATCTATCACTTTTTCCCCATATTTCACTCTTAGCATGTGGTTGTACTTTGAAGAGTGTTTGCAAAAATAAAATTGTTCTGTGTTGTTATCTTTTCATGATTTTCAAATCAAACATACTCAACTAACATGGAAACAGACACATTACAAGTGAAAACTCCTTTGCCTAGAATCTAAAAGTCAACTTGGGTTCTTGTTCTCTTGAAAGAGAATAGCACGTAAGGGAGCCTGACTGCAGTGAGGAAATGACCTGTCAGGGAGTCCTTCTGGGTTCTAGTCTCTGCTCCTAGGACACTTAAGCTTTTTGTATTAGATAACTGTTGGCTTAAAATTATAGAAACAGTCCCTAAAGTAAGAGCAGGAGCACAGAATTCCCTCCTTCCAGGTGGGCAGTGCTGTAGCAAGGGAGGCAACCAAAGCGAAGGGGCACCAACAGGCGCTGCCCAGCTGGAGCAGGGCATGGGATGGACCCTCGAGCAGCTTGTTTGGGGGGGCATGGGGATGGGGGACAGAGGAAAGGTGGCTCCTGCCACTGTGTGCACTCCTGGGCAAGCATAGGGGGGCACTGTGCCCTCTGGATCTGTGTGTGGGATGAGGGCGAGCTGCCGACTTTGCCCCAGGTGTGAAACTTTGTTGCAGTGGCACTGCAGGTGGGCACCTTTGTAACTGGCCTTACATGGTCATGCTCCTACTTGGTCTCTTTCTCTAACTCCATGAATCTTGCTTCATGGTGGTCCAGCCTCAACAGAAAGAGGTAAAGAGCAATCCTTCTCAACTCTCGTCGATAGCCTGATAGTTAATGCACTACTCTGGGAGATGTGGATTTGAAGGCCATCAGGCTTTGGAGAGCCTTGCCCACAGCTCTCATTTACTAGATAAGTGATCTAGGTACTAAGTGGCTGATTATATAATAAGGCGTGCACAACCACTTTTCCCTTCACTTGCATAGTGTTTTTAAAGGAAAATATCCTCATTCTGACCTGACTTTTATCAGTGTGTTAGGCATGCTCAGAATGTGCCTAATGGATTTGGGACTGTTAGGGGACATAGGTGCAAGGGTACCTCATTTATGAATCCTAAATGGCCTTTAAGCATGATAAAAGCTGAGCTGTTCAGCACTGCCATAAAGATCTTAGTTCTGGGCATGCACAGAGGAAGCTCTCTCCATGCCTCAAACTTTACTAACAAAATCTTAGGTGCCTATAGCCTTTTTGTTGACAAAGAAATTGGGTTACAGTTTTGTGGATCACACTTTGGGACTCGGGTACCTAAATTCTACCTAATTTGCACTTTAGACACTTATGGCTTCAGTTAAAAATTCTTCTGTTGATCTTCAAGAATGAAGAAAATCCTATTAATTCTTTTAGCTGTGATCACACTTGCTAAATTCAGACAGTCAAAAAGCCCGAGGCTGAACTGATTCAATCTTCCCAGGTTAGTCTAAACTGTGCAGATTGAATCAATAAGCAAGGGAACAGGCATTCACTTTTGATTCTGGAAATGGAACCATGCTCCTGAAGTGGCCCAAGCCAGAAGCCAGGGGGTACTAGAGCATGCCTTCCTGTTGAGCTAGAGGAAACAGCTTGGGCCGAGGCTAGCCCACCCACTCTGCAAAGCACCCCAGGGGACTGAGAGTTAACTTGAATCTGGGGTGGGAGGCGGGGTGGATCTGGGACAGAAATTCAATAAATCACTTTAACCTAAATCAGTTAAGTCTGATACTACATCCATCCAGGTTTATCTTAAAGCAGTTTTGACTATTTTGAAATGGTTTTTGTGCCCTGAACTTCTGTTTGTGCTACAGATTTGAACCAGTTTCTAATTACTTGTACTGGTTTATGTGTAATATCTGTCCCTAGCCACTGCAGAAACAGCATCAGTACAAAGAAATAAAAACCTGTTTCCATACACAAAGAAAAGATGCAATGAACAGGAAAGGGCTATTATTTACATAGACATTTTTCAGAGTATAACAGCATTTTAATTTGATGTCCAATGTGAACTAACATGAACATGTTCAAACTTTGCCTAAACAGGAGCTATGTTGGCAGTTGACCAGGAAGCTGATAGTTATACTACATTTGCATAAAAGAGAGCAGATTGCAGCTGTCCTACTCTTTTTATCTGGAGCATCTTGATCGTCTATATATCTTCTATATAATTAATATCTTCTATATTAGTGATGGGAATAGAGGTAGCCACATTTAAGCAATTTTGGACAAGGACTTTGTGTCTTTTTGTGTGTGTTTGCAAATTGCCATGCAAATTAACTTAGCTAATAAATTGAAAATAAAAATAGTTTGGGCTGCAAGATGCACGTTAGCCATCTGTAGGCAAAAGACTTTAAATTGTTTTTTAGCATCTAATACAAAGTGCTTTCTCTTACAGTTTTCTTTTTGCTTTGTTTCAGTTTCTCCAAAGATATATCATATTTCAACTGACATTGTTGTAAATGAAGGGAGCAATGTTACTCTTGCGTGCTTGGCGACAGGAAAACCAGAACCTTCCATTTCGTGGAGACACATCTCTCCTTCTGGTAAGCACAACACATATTTTACAGACTAGATTTTCTTCCTTCAGTATTGACCATTTAAAAATATTTACTACTTAATCCTCAAAACAGCCTTCTCAGGAAACTGCATTAGTTGGTCCTCTTTTTATTTTTTTAAAATGAAGAAAATGAAACAGATAAAATAAAAATAAAATATTCAAAAATGACACCACTGGCTTTAAATACCTCAATAATTTTGCAAGAGGGAAGGATTTAATTGAGTGATATTTTTTTATTGGACCAACTACATACTTGGGATAGAGTTAGATAAGCTTTTGAAGCAAGTTATTCTTCTTCCATTAAAATAAAATAAAACTGATGTTTAGACCAGATTTTAAGAACATTTGAGCTCCCCAAACTAAGGTTGACCTCATTGAAAGTTATGGGTGCTTAGGACTTATTAAAGTCAGGAACATAAGTTTTAAAAAAATGGATTTCCCAAGTTTCAAATCTACTTTTGAGGGTTAGGTCTGAGTGATTTGCTTAAGGACACATACATTTCAAAAAGAGAGTTTCTGAGCCCCAAGCTTATGCTTATTCCAACAGACTGCAGACATCTATGAAACATTTCCTATAAAGAGAATAAAAGGCTTCTCTATAACAAAATAGGGA